TCTCCTATTTCGCTCTCTTTGCCTCTCACTCTCTCTGTCGCTCTTTGTCTCTCTCACTCTCCCTCTCTCTCTAGTCTTTCTTAGGTTTCTATGATTTCTATAATTTGTGCTAAGCTTTTTTTTTATTAGTTTGAGCTAGCTCACTTGTCATTTCCAGCTGTAGAAAATGATGATAGATCTGTTAAGTTGACTCAACCTCTTAAATGTACACTTTCTCGTGCTCGGTTTTTGAGCATCAACCACGCTTATCCGTTTTTTGGCGAGAAAGATACAGGAGCTCAGACAGGATAGCCAACAACATATCATCATCTGCGCCCTAAACGTCATTTGTTGTGTTTTGGATTTGTGATGATTTGATTTTTAATAGGCTGAAGATTCCTTAACTTTAATGCTCCATTGTATCGTTTTGTAACTCCTAGCGAATATTGCCATTTCGAGTTTTGCATCTTTGTCACGAATTTTTCAATTTATCTGATTTTTTTCTGTATTGCTCGTTCCGTTTTCAGAATTTTCCTACATACGCAATAAAGAGAGACGACTTTTTCAATTTTTTTTGTTGCAGATTCCGATCAGCGAAGGGGAAGGGGTCGTGTGCTGCCGTGTGTGCCATCTGCTGGTTTGAAGACCAATTGGTAAGCTGAATTTTTTTGCTTTTTTGTCGTGTCGTGCTCGTCCACATTAACACAAATTAAAGCTAGATCTCTAAGGCGAAAAAGAGTCTTTTAAAAAAGGGCTTTTGGTTTTCGCAAAAAGAGACGAATTCTCGTGGTAACAAAAGGTGCTCAATTCCTTGCAAACTCTTAAAAATGCCACAAAATCGGGAACAACAAAAAGTGGCTAGCCTTGTTTATCGCCTTATTGGATATCCGCTTGAAAAATACTTATCTCGTGCTGCCCAAACTCAAACTCTCGTGCTCCATGCAACCCATATTTGAGGTTGCATCAGATTTTCGGCCTATTTTTATGGCGCCTCGCAGCTGGGGGCCGGAAATGCAGAAATTCCCGCAAAATATGTAGTTTTTGTTGCATTTGGAGGGCCGGGAAGTGATTGTTTTTGTTGTTTGGCGGGCGGCACGATGTTGCAAAAAAGTTGCATCAGCGTGAGTAAGTGGCTAACAGATGGCCAAATGAGTAATAGTAGGATTTACGTGAAAACTTGCAACAATAAGAAAGGGGAGGGGCTAAAAAGACGGCAAACTTTTTCTAGCCGTCGGCATATTTGCATATTCTGTTTTTCTTATAGTTATTTGAATTTTTTGAATTATAGTAATTTTAAGCTGTTTAATTTTGCAGTTAGTAAGGTTATTCAAAAATTTGGCATAGCTTTAAATCAAGAAAAACAAACCCATTTTCAGCCAAAATTGAATGCCAATGTAGCAAAATGCCGAAAAATCTCAGTTTTCCGATTTATATAAATAGCCAGTCTAGGCTTGGCAAGCTAGCCAAGACCTTTTGAGGAAAGAAGTGAAATAGAGGGAGAGAAAGAGAGAGAGAGAGAGAGAGAGAGAGAGAGAGAGAGAGAGCGAGAGGGAGAGAGTTAGACAGAGATTCAGGCCTTCAAAAAATTCTTAAAAAACCGCTGCTAGGCTGCGTAAAGGAAAATCCGCCAGAATCACGGCTGGTACGCATTTAGCCGAGATTTTTCGACTTTAAGGCATATTTCGTAGGGTCGCGTAGCCGTCTAGACCTAGTCGCTAGAAGGCGTCGATTCTCCCACTTGGCAACCCCGTTAGCGCGACCGGACCGGTTGATCCTCTAGATCGTTCCCGAAGCTTCCATCCACCCGTCTGCGCCTGGGGGATAAATCTCGTTCTCTGAGCGTTCTTTGGTATAGCCCGGGGGGCACAAACATGACATCATCCACCACCCTGGTACCCTTGTCTCTCTCCCTCTCTCTCCCTCTCTCCCTCTCTCCCTCTCTCTCTCTCTCTCTATCTCTCTCTCCCTCGTTATGTACCCTTTCCAGGTCCCTCCCACCATCAGAGCACCCCAGGCGGACACCCCAGAAGGAAGGCGAGAGACTACCGAGAAGACAGAGGGAACAGGGATAACGAGAAACCATCAACAACTACGCCTACAACTAGGCCAGGAGGGTAGTCAGAACATCTACCATCAATCACATCGTCATCATCATCAGCCGAGATCAGAATGTTCTTCTTCGACAAGGACCAAGAGGAGGAGCTGGGAAGCTGTAAGTTTTCCATTCAAAATTCTGAAATTGTCATCAGAATTTGTGCGAAATTTGATGGAGTACTGTAGTGCCAGATTTTTGGGTGGAACCGAGTGCTATTAGCTACCGTAATCCATCAACTTTTGAGCCTTTTTTGCGTAATTTCCGGCGCTCTCGTAACCCGAAACTTGAGATTCAAATTTGCTACAAGAACCTGATCTATCTCACTTTGAAAAATGTCTTATTTTAGATTGTTTAACTTCGCTATTACTGTATTTTTCACTTACAGTCTTTTTCTCGCATAATTTTATCGCAGTTAATGAATTCACTTTTTTGCAAATTTGAATTGAAAATGGGTACTGTGCGTTTTACCCTAGACTTTGCTTTTTTGCTTATTTCAGATTCTTTTTGACGATTTTTTTAAGCCCTAAGGATTCAAAAAAACCGTATTCTTGGCTTTCAGATTTTTGAGGAGGTTCAGCTACCTACTGTAGTTCTTAAAATTTCAAAAACAAGCTTTATAACTAAATTTTAGATCTTTTTTTACGCCATTTCTTTTTTTTAACATTTTATGGCCCTCCGTCCGGCCGATCGTATCGTACTGTAAGCCTACTAAATTGTAATCCTATTTTCCTGGCCCCTTCTCCTAAATCTAGAAAATCATAAAGCTCAGCCGAACCCCAAAAAATTTCAAAAGTGCCAGAAGTGCATTCGATATTTTTCAGACGCCCTAGTTTACCCTAGCTTCGGCCCCCCTAGTTTCGCGAACCCAAAACGCACTAACAAAACATCTTCTACCTCGCGCTCACTAGCCCAGCTGCTGCTCCCCCTTTATTCCTTCTTTTCGACTGCCACTTTCGACTGACAAACGTACACAACCCGAGCCCTTCTCTCTCACTCTCTCTCTCTCTCTCTTTCTCTCTCCCCTCTCTCTCTGCCCTGCATCGACTCAACCAGCTGGTGTGGCCGGGCGACTCCGGCGAGTTGTGAAATTGTGAAGAAATAATGGCTATGTGTGGGCCGGGCTAGCGTAGCCTACCTACCCAGCCCCCCAAATATTGTGACGCCGCGCCCCCGATTTGCTCCAGAGAACGGGCCCGGTGATCGATTACTGCACTGTACTACAATGGGACAGTACACTCGGGAAGTGTAAATAGTACTATGACGGAAAAATTAACGCGGGGATCACGGTAGTACTGCATAGAAGGGGTGGAATTCGTACTTAAAATTATATGGGGCTTGGGCTTAGGTTTAGGCTTTGGCTTGGCTTATGCTTCGGCTTAGGCTTGGGCTGCGCTTGGGTTTAGGCTTAGGATAGGACTTAGCTTAGGCTAGGAATAGGCTTAGGCTTAGCTTAGGGTTCGGATTAAGTTAGGCTTAGGCTTAGGGCTTGGGCTCAGGGCTTCGGCTCAGGTTTAGGCTTGGACTTAGGCTTCGGCTTGGAGCTAAGTTTGGGGTCAGGCTTAAACTTTGGCGTAGCTTAGCTTCGGCTTACGCGGGGGGCCCTAGGTATAGGCTTAGGCTTCCTAGGCTTATGGATAAGCTTAGGCTTTGGCTTTGGTTTTGGCTTAGGCTTAGGCTTAGGCTTAGTCTCAGGCTAAGCCTAAGATTAGGCTTAGGCTAAAGCCGAAGCCAAGCCGTGCTTCAGCCAAATTCCGCTTTTCAGGCCACTTCCCATACCAAAACATTCTCACGCCAAATATGCAAATTAGGTGCACTATACGCTACCGTATCCCACAAAGTCGGGCCGCATTTTCGCAACGCCTAGTGTTTCCCATGCGGCGTGTGTGTACGTGCCTGTATGTCTATATGATTCAAAATGGACATTCACGGGCTCGGCCGCCGGGGCTGGAAGGGGCATTTGGGCGCACACAATGCTTCATTATGCATCCCGATCGGCCGATGGTTGTGAAAGGTAGTCTTTCTCTCTCTCTCTCTCTCTCTCTCTCTCTCTCTCTCTCCTGCCGCTCTAACAATAAACAACGCTGCGGCTCTCCCTATCCCTGGCTCTCTCGGATTTTTTTATGGTCCTCTTTCTTGTCTTATTCTCTCGTATCGCCTAGTCTCTCGCCTTATAGCCCGCTGACCACCCGTTTGTCCGTATCCTACCCACCAGTTGTTTGTCTGTCTGTCTGTCTGGGTCTCTAGGGGGAAGGCGGTCTCTCGCTAGGTGGTTGGCCGTCTAGTTTCTCACGCCGTAAGCGCTCTCTCGCCGGCTTGGGCATGTGATCGGCTCTCTCTCTCTCTCTCTCTCTCTCTCTCTCTCCCTCTCTCTGTCCCTCGCTTTCAACACCACTAGGGGGCTCTCTGCGTCTCCCTCGCTTCCCCGCTCTCTCTAGTACCCCTGTCTCACCCAAAGGGAGCGTCCGGGTCTCTCAACTCTCCCGATCTCGCTCTTTCTCTCTCTCTCCCTTTCTCTCTGGCCTCTCTCACTCCCTCACTCTCTCTAATACCTCTCTCTCGGGCAAGGGGGCGTATCGCCTGCGTCTCTCTCCTCTGCCCACTCTCTTACCTATGTCACCCTCGTTTCTCTACCCTCTCTCCTCCTCTGCCACTCTCTCCCCCTCTCTCCCCTCTCTACCCCCTCCCCACCTAGAGATCCCAGCTGGGGCGGACCTCGAGGGGCGAACGCCACCGCGACCAGAGCTCCCGTCGCGCGCGCGTCGTTGGTGCGCTTCGGCCCCCACTTGCTTACCACCACCCAAGTCTCAGGATCGAAGCCAAGCCAAGCAGCTTTGCTTGTTGCTCTCAATCTGTCTATTCTATGCTGAGAGTGTGCTCGGCCCCCATTCACCACCACCAGCCCCATCACCAGTCCCACCACCGCGACATGGTCCACCTGTACCACCCGGAGATCGCTGGTCCGTTCGTTTGTCGGTTGATTTTTTTGGGGCTTGCCGGGGCCTTTAAAATTAAAGAATTTCGTTTTGATGCCAATTTGAAAAATCCTGACTTGTTTGGACCTCTAAAAGCTATGTTTTCAGGCGGATTTTGAAGTTTTAAAGCGTTTTTCGTGTCGATTTTTGTTAAATTTTGTTTAAAAAGCCCGTAATTCCGTGACGATGCTAGTTCCGCTGGTTAGGACACGGTTTAGGTTTTAAAGCTATTTTTTCGAGCGGATTTTGAATTTTTTTAACGCCTTTTTGTCATGATTTGTGCAAACCCGACCCAAATCCATAGGTTTTCTAAGGTTGCCGCCCTCCTTTAAAATGGTAAAATTCCGTTTTGATGCTAATTCCGAGTATCCAGACTTATTTTTAGTATGTAAAATTAAATTTTTAGGTGAATTATGATTTTTTAACGGGTCTTTTGTCTTGATTTTTGGAAACCTGAGCAAAAAAATAGGTCTTCCAAGGTTTCCGACGCTCCGTTTCCGTTTTGTACTAATTCCGGTTCCGGAATATGAGGGTATTTTGAAAGTTATGTCGTTTTTGAGCAAATTTAAGATTTTAAATAGCCGTCAAACCTTGATCAGCTTAAAAAATTTTTTTATTGATTTTTTACGTTGTGTGGCCTATTTTCACTAGCAATTTCCGCTACGCTACTCGTACCACGCGCATTTCCGTTTGCATCTCCCCATTTTCCGTAGCGCTCCTGTCAACAGCGGATTTGAGTTTTGGAGTGGCTAGTATCGCCCAAACGGCCAGCAGAACAGCAGGAAAAAAAGACTTGAATCCCTATGGAAAGCGCCTTTTTCTAAATCCTAAAATGCACGCAAATTTTGCAAGTTTTTGAGCGTAATTCGGAAGGTTCGGGACTCTGAAATCCCACAGTAATCTCGGCCCAAAGCGGCCTTTAATTTCTGTGATTAAGGTTTCCCCCCGAGGGCTGGGATTTCGGCTATTTTTGGCCCCCGCATTTAATCCGAATTTTCTAATGGTAGGGCTATTTTTTCCTCATTTTCTATTCAGCGGGGCGGATTATATAGTGGCTCTATTACAGTATGCCGGGGATTAGACGGCCGGAAATTGTTTTTAGAAAGGTTTTCACTGGTTCTAAAGGTGTTAAAGCATGGGGAAAGAGTTTAAAACTCGATATTTTGTAAAATACGCAATTTTAAACGTTTTCCAAGTTGCGAAAAGGCTTAAAAATCCTATATTTGGTAAAATACGCTATTTTTCATACATTTACCGCTTTAAAAACACTAAAATTTGTCAGGAATTTTTTAAACGCTGGTATTAAACATTTAGCAATTTTCGATCCAAAATTCAGCTCAAAAATCTTTGGTCGCATCAAAAAAAGATGAAGAGCACTCAGAATTCCAAAAAAACCTCTAATTGAGCCGAATATTCCCAAAATTAATAATTTACCGCTCACTCCACTATGCACCATTTTGCAGATGCGCCGTACAAGAGCGACGGCCTCGCTGGGATGGGGATGGGAGGAGAGCTCGACAACCACCATCATCATCAAGCTACCAACACCACTGGGCTCAGGAACATCCTTGGAACAACGTGAGGGTTATACAGGATTTCTCGCTCTCTCTCCGGCTTTCTCTCTCTCTCTCTCTCTCTCTCTCTCTCTCTCTCTTGTTTTTCATCTGCAACCCCTAATTCCCCCACCCACAATCTGCGTCACAAAAACTTCGAAGGAGCTAGTCAACATTCCTAGTGATCAGCTCCTGAATCAGATCACAAAAATTTACCCTAAAAAACGGTACCTCCCCGTTTTGAGCCACCAAAAACACAACGCCCTTATCACCCCGGCCACCAGGTCATTTGGCTGTTTTTGGGGGTGCAGATTCTAAACCCAGAAAAAATCCTCCATCCCTATCTGGTTGGCCTGATAAACCGTGCCCTCGGGATGCCCGGGATTCCCGTGTTTACGGTGCGGGGGTTGTTGGGTCAAATGATCCGGAAGGCAGGAGAGAGAGAATCGATACTTTAGAGTAAAGGCATGCTAGCAGAAATCATTTAGGAATGAAAGGGGCTGGCTAGCAGAGATCATTTGGGAATAGAAGGGCAGGCTAGCAAAGTTTCTTTAGGAAGAGAGAGAGAGACAGTTAGAGATAGAGAAAACCACCCAAATCCGACTCATCCCCCACCCCCGTCATATCCATCCGATTTCCGGCAAATCCAGGCCCAATTTCGGGCTGTTTTTCTGTTTTGCGCCCCGGCGCCGCTCCTCTAAAAGCCCCGAGGCGGAAAATCAGGAGCACCTGAAGTCTGGGTTACGGTAGCTGGGGCGTGTTTTGGAGTGGTGGGCATCAAAAAGGGCACCGACTTTCCGGGGGATATTGAGCCTGTTTTTCAAGAAAAATGACACGTACTCGGCTTTACGGCATTGAAGAGTGTGACAGTAATGAATTCTTGGATGCTAGCTGTCCCTGCCCCTTTGAAATTGGATTTAAAGGGACTGGGAAGGCAAATTTTACCTCCAAATTTTCAGAGATGCGGGCCGACCTCGGGTAATGCACGGGCGCGACTCATTCGCCACCGACTTCTTCTTGGGAGACGATGGGGACGAGTCGCCTGATTGGGCGAGCAGCAGGTACGGTAGCTGGGGTGTTTTTAAAGGGAGTGGGACAGGAATTCTAGAATTTTAAAGGCGTCAGACGCACGGTTTTTGGCGCCGCTTTTACAGTAACTTCCCTACTATACTTGTTTTTTTTTTGCGATGATTCTTAAATTTCCACCCGTTCCTCGATCCGTCAAAGTCATCAACGACCCCGGGGCCGGTCAGCTGGGGCATCCTTAAAAAAAGGACAACAACACAACGGGATGACTAGTAGATCATTGGGGTCAAACCCGCCGATCGGGTCACGCGGCGCGCCCGAGCCTGGAGAATTGTTTATGGTTTTCGCCGGAAGAGACCAACCGTGTTACGTAGCACTACATGCCGGGAGAAAATATAGGATGCCGAGCGCTTTTTTGCGGGAAAAGGAAACGGGAGGAATTATTTTTATTTCCAGAAAAGGAGAATAAAAAGTGAACCGCCTGACAAGGAGAAAATGAGCAAAAAAAATGGCAGAATTGCACTAGATTATTTTGATAACATTTTCCTTCTGATGCAAATTTTTGCTCTACAATTCCATCATTTCCCTAGTTACCGTAACCCAGAAATTAAAAAAATCTAGCATGTAACGTTAGGAAAACTGGCTTAATTTAGTGCCGTTTAGTCAAGGTCAAGTCAAGCTCACAAACTTTAAAAATGATTTAAAAATGGATTTTGCACTTAGTAAATTTTTTCTAGAATTTAAGGATACAGTTAGACTACAAAAACACGCAAATCTGCCCTCATCGCAAAAAAGTTTTCCACTCCAATACCCCCCTCATAGTAAGACCATAGATCCCACCACTCACCCCTGGGATTCCGCCTATTTACGCCTAGCGCCCTCGGCCCACACCCTAAATATAGCTAAACCCGGGGAATCAGAGCGTAGAAAATACGATCCCAATGAGTCAGGGAAATAGTGGGAAACTAGGATATGAGGCTTCGGTCCTAAAAAACAACTAAATCATCGAGTAAATGGCTAATTTAAGCTACAGGCCCTTGTAAAATCCAGAAAAAGACAGTTAAAACAATTGATTGAAAACAGCTAGATTTTCGATTTTTAAAGTTTTAAATTTTTCAGCGAGGAGAACGAGGAGCTGACGGAGCTGGTGTCGATGTCGTTGCGCAGCCAGGGAGGAAGGAATCGGCAGCGCAGCTCCACCAAGACCGGCTTCCAAGGTGAGCACCAGCTTTCTGAGCTTCCGGCTTTTAAAGGGATAAGGACACTTCGAGAATCGGGGTTTTTCGGGTTAAAAGACTGCCAAAAATTTGTTTTGGCCAGTTTCCGTCTCAATTAGCTAGTTTCTAGCTCATGCTCTGGCTCTAGTTCTGTTTTTGGAATCCGACTTTACAAGAAATCTCTGCTAGCCTGCCTCTGCCATTCCTAAAGCATCTCTGCTAGCCTGCCCCCTTCTAATGAATTCGCGATTCCCAATTTCCGCCTCGTTCCAAATTCCACCCTCTGCCCCCATACATAATTAACCCCTTAGGCGATCCCCTACGTGCAAAAGTGGTCTCTACATTTTTTTGCCGGTGGTCTCCTAAAAGGGGGAACCTTCCAGAAGTCGCGCGTCGGGCGCGAGGCGCCGCCGGGCGGCGCCGCGCGCGGCAATCAATCGCGACGCCCCCGCCGAGGGGGGACTCCTTCTTTTGGATCGGGGGAAAGAAACTCACAAACAGACACACAAACTGCCACACAAACAGAACTAGGCCTTGGCCTGCGGGGGCCCCCGAATGTGGAAAGGGGTGAATATTGGCATGGATGGGGGCTGGAAGATTGTAGAACTTTCTGGAAATTTTGGGAATAGTTTTTGGTCCAAACGGAGCTAGCTAGCAGGATCATTTGGAAATCATTTTTAAGCGTAAAACGGTAGAATTGCGATTGTCATATTTTTTCAGGGAATTAAGGACCATTAATGCCTTTTAAATCCAATAAAAAGCGTCACCGCCTGAGGCAGGCTAGCAGAGATCATTTACGAAGCCTTCCCAGATTTTGAATCATCTTTTTAGCGCTTTTAAAGGGACGAGCAAGGCCAAATTCCGTAACTTTCAAACCCGCTTCGAATCGAGATTTTTTAGCTTTTACAGCCTAAATTGAGTTTTCGTAAACCAGCTTGATTTTTCGCCCATATTCACTAACGTTTTTCGGCCCCATAACCTGTCCAAAATGTCGAAAAATCTGCAGCCGCCCCCCTCCAACGGGAACTTGTTTTTGGCAGGTAATCCCCTCCCTCGAGGCTCCGAGGGAGAGCAAAAAAATGGATCCGCTGCTACTGAAAACGGGCCCGCCTGCTGGAAACGTGCAGAGCAGCGGGGTGGAATTTCGGTCATGGGGTGGCGAAAAGCATCAAAAATTTGCATTAAAATCTACATAAAAATTAATATTGATTCTAAAGGCCTGGAAAAGCATGGGCAATCTAGCAGAGATCATTAGCGTCTTGAAAATTCTGTGAAGATCATTTTATCCCGATTTTTCAGACTTCTACAAGCTGCTCGACGAGAGCCTGGGCGCAGGGGCGTACGGCAGCGTGCACACCTGCGTCTACAAGCCGACCGGCAAGGAGTTTGCCGTTAAGGTAAGGGCAGAATTTGGTGTCACACTCCCTTTAAAGGAGCTAGCAAGTGCAATTTCACTTTTCCTGGAGAAATTTAGGTGTCACGCTCCCTTTAAAGGCCTAGGAAGCGCAAATTCTACGCTTTTCGGCTAGATCTTGGTGTTCATGCTCAACTTAAACAGATGCAGAAGGCACTGCCTCTCAAATTTGCTAAAAGATAAAATCTCACTTTTTATTGTACTTTTTCTGTCCAACCCTCTTTAAAACCTCAAAAACCAAACAAATTTGCTAATGGGGGACCACCCCGATTCCACCCGCCGGCCGCTATTTGTTTCTTAAGGGACCCGGGACGGCTTCGAGTGGCCACTAGCCACGCGAAAGAACAAATATGGGCGAGAGAGAGCGAGAGAGAGCGACAGCTTCTCTAGTTCCGCAGCTTCTGATCGGCTGACCGGCCCGGGCCCCGAAAAACAGTCCAAAGGAAGAAACGGGAAAACGTGTTTGCCGGGCCATTGTTTTCGGGGGGCCCAGCTTGGCGAAACGGGGTCCCAGCGCGAACCCGGGTTTTTGGGGCAAAAAACAGGAGGAAAGAGTGTTCTGGGGTGTAGAACGTACTCGAAAAAGAGGGAAATGCCGGAAAAATATCTTAAAGGGCCAGGAAAGGTCAAAAAAATGCTTAATTGGAATTTTCTTGATTTCCTCGCCCCTTTAAAGATGTTTTTTGCTGTTTTTAGGCTTGGGGAAACGGAAATTCTTGACTAAACTCAATTTCGGTTTTATGGGTAAAAAACTCAAAAACTTAAAGTCGATTTTTGCGACTAATCCCACCCTGCTTCAGATCGTCGACAAAGAAACGGCAAGCCACACGCGCAGCCGCCTGCAGCGCGAGGTGGACACGTTCAAGATGTGCCGCCACCACCCCAACATCGTCCAGCTGATCGAGTGGTTCGAGGACTCGGACAACTTCTACATGGTCTTTGAGAAGATGAACGGGGGCCCGCTGCTTGATCATATCCAGAGGAAGGTTGGTGAAAAAGAGCTGTTTTGGAAGGACTTACTTCCCTATAAAGACCCGGAACTTCTTGAAGACGTCGGCCTCTTTTTGGTTACTTTTAGCGCAGCGAGACGATTATAAAACTGTCAAAAAATTAATTATTTTACGTTTTTCGACGGTTTTGAGCCTCTTTCAAGTTACCCACTGCTCGGCTTGAAAACGTCCCCCTGCCTCGTTCTACTTAACGAGTCATGGTTCCAGAAATTCTTCACCGAGCACGAGGCGGCCCAGGTGACGCGCGACATCGCGTCGGCCCTCAAATTCCTGCACGACCACGGCATCGCGCATCGCGACGTGAAGCCGGAGAACATCTTGTGCACCGACAAGGACCGTGTGTCGCCTGTGAAGTTGTGTGATCTCGACCTCGCCAGCAAGTCGCATCTGAACCCGGAGGATCGGGTAGGTATCTGGATTTTGAGTCAGCAAGTTGCTTGGGTTAGGCCTGGGCTTAGGCTTAGGCTTAGGCTTAAGCTTAGGCTTAGGCTTCGGCTTAGGCTTAGGCTTAGGCTTAGGCTTCGGCTTAGGCGTAGGCTTAGGCTTAGGCTTCGGCTTAGGCTTAGGCTTAGGCTTCGGCTTAGGCTTAGGCTTAGGCTTAGGCTTAGGCTTAATTGCTTAGGCTTCGGCTTAGGCTTCGGCTTAGGCTTCGGCTTAGGCTTAGGCTTAGGCTTAGGCTTCGGCTTAGGCTTAGGCTTAGGCTTAGGCTTCGGCTTAGGCTTAGGCTTAGGCTTAGGCTTAGGCTTAGGCTTCGGCTTAGGCTTAGGCTTAGGCTTCGGCCTAGGCTTAGGCTTAGGCTTAGGCTTAGGCTTAGGTTTCGGCTTAGGCTTAGGCTTAGGCTTCGGCTTAGGCTTAGGCTTAGGCTTAGGCTTAGGCTTCGGCTTAGGCTTAGGCTTAGGCTTAGGATTAGGCTTGGCTATAACTATATTTTCTTGATTTCCAGATGGCCGCCAGTGAGCCAGACCTCGCCAGCCCTGTGGGCAGCGCCGAGTTCATGGCCCCGGAAGTGGTCGACGCGTTCGTCGGTGAAGCACTAAAATACGACAAAAAGTGCGACATGTGGAGTCTGGGCGTCATTCTCTATATTATGCTCTGCGGGTATCCACCATTCTACGGCGATTGCTCGGCTCAGGATTGCGGATGGGACATGGTGAGTGATTGGGCAAGCCAGCGGAGATCATTTGGGAGGTATAGGCTGATAATGCCGATTCACAGAATGCCGATTTACAGAATGCCGATTTACAGAATGCCGATTTTACAAAATGCCGATTTACAGAATGCCGATTTTACAAAATGCCGATTTACAGAATGCCGATTTACAAAATGCCGATTTACAAAATGCCGATTTACAGAATGCCGATTTACAGAATACCGATTTTACATAATTTGGGTTCTACATCAAAAAATACAAACCGGATCCCCAGAAAAAACATTATCCGACTTGGTCATGGCGAAACCGCCAGACCTGAGGCCTAGCTTTACTATGTTCTTTTTTCAGAGAAACCCTAGTTCCACGTTACCAAGGGACCGCCCATTGGTTACTAAATTAAATTCTTCTATCAAACTGTTTCCCTTCCTCTCGACGCATTCTCAACCAAGAAATAATAATGAATCGTCGGGTTTGTCGCTGCGGCCGAGCACGTTGGAAGTGTCGGCGACCAGCGAAAAAGGCATGCGTTGAAACTTGCGATTTCCTCGTAAACCCCGATCCCTACGCGGAAAAAAAATTCGTAAAAATTCGCCATGGCCAAGTCGGATCATGTTTTTATGGGCCGGTTTGTATTTTTGGATGTAGAGGCCAAATTGTGTAAAATCGGCATTCTGTAAATCGGCATTCTGTGAATCGGCATTCTGTAAATCGGCATTTTGTAAATCCGCATTTTGTAAATCGGCATTCTGTAAATCGGCATTTTGTAAATCGGCATTCTGTAAATCGGCATTTTGTAAAATCGGCATTCTGTAAATCGGCATTCTGTAAATCGGCATTCTGTGAATCGGCATTATGTAGGTAAATCCATTTGGGAATGGCAGGGAGCAGAGACCCTTTGGAAATTTTGTCATCACCACTTTCCAGGGCGCTCAATGCGAAGAGTGCCAGAACAACCTCTTCCAACGCATCCAAGACGGGTACTTCGAGTTCCCGGATGAGGAGTGGAGCAACATCTCCGAGGATGCCATGGATCTCATCGGGCACCTCCTCGTCCGCGACACCAAGTTGCGGTAAGTCTTGCTCTCTCTCGCTCTCTCTCTCTCTCTCTCTCTCTCTCTCTCTCTTTCTCTCTCTCTCGCTCGCTCTCAGACTCTATCTCTCATTTCAGGTACACGGCCGACGACGTCCTGTCGCATCCGTGGATGACGGGTGGTGCTCCGACCACCGAGTTGCTCACCCCGGGCAACCTGATCCGGAACGACTCGACCAGGGATGTGCACCAGATCCGCGAGACATTCCAGGCGATGAACCGCATCTACTCGGGCCGGATGAGCCTCAACCGAGAGGTGAGAGAGGGAGAGAGAAAGGGAGAGAGCGAGAGAGAGAGAGGGAGCGAGAAGGAGAGAGAGAGAGAGAGAGAGAGAAGAGAGAGAGAGAGAGCGCGAGCGAAAGAGTCTGAGGGCGAGAGAGCGAGAGAGAGAGAGGGAGAGTGAAAGAGAGCACGCGCGAGAAAGGGTGAGAGAGCGAGACGTGCATGCTTTTTTGCCTTGAAGGCCCCTTTAAACCGTCATTTTCAGGCATCGCAATCAGCCCTCCCGACCCCGGGCCCGGGCGATCTGCCTCCAATGCCATTGCTGAAGATCGAGGAGATTTGGGACGAGAAGACGTCGCAGGGATCCCCCACCAAACCACCGCCAACCTGGGCTGAAGAGGTGGAGAACGACGAGATGATGTTCCCGGTCTTTGGCATTGGCCTCGAGAATGATGCCGCCGTCCAGCAGTACTCCTCCAACTACTATAATGTGGGTTTTAAGGGAAATATGATGACTTCCTAAAAGATCTTTGCTAGCATGCCTGGTACTTAGCTGTTAGCGAGGGGGATTTTTAGAAAAGGAAAACGAATTGGGCTTATAATAAAATCAAAGCCATTTATATATGTTTTTAATTCTTTAATTTTAAAATTTTTTGTTTATAATATTTTGCCATTTTAGAGGTGAAAACTTATAAAAAACTTCTAAGTTTTTTTGAGGTTTTGGTGATAAATGTATGGAAAATCGTCAAAAAGTTCAAGTTTTCGAATTTTCCAAAATTTTAAAACTATTTTTAGCGAGCAAAACCTATTAAAAATTATAAAATACACTATTTGTGTTTAACGGAAAAAAGACAAAAATTAGTCCCCCCGCTAACAGTCCAGAATCGCTCATTTTGCTGCCATATTCCCTCAAAACTGCTGCTAGCTTGCCCCGAGGTTTTCAACAATTTTCCCAAACGATCTTTGCTAGCCTGCCCGCGCCAAAATTTTCTAAATCGTTTTTGAAGTCTTTCTAACCCCTTTAAACCCCTCATTTTTTCAGTACGACACCACGGAGGAGCCGTCCAGCTTCAAGCCGAGCTCGGCCAAAAGCCTCACCGCCATCGAGACGTGCCAGTCGGCCCTCGCCCGCCAGGACTCCGCCACGGACACGCGCCGCGAGCAGAAAGTCGACGCCTAAAACGCGACCCGGATCCGGCTACAGTACTCCCAAAAATGCAGAAATAGCCATGTAGATAGCTTACTTGAACCTACCAGTACCCCCCGGCCCCTGACAACTACTTTTTGCGTGTAGCCCGGGTCCCCGAATGCCCCCCGAAACAACTGATTACGCTATGAAAATACGGCGATTCCGTTATGATGCCTAATTACGATTCAAAAACGCAGCGAAAATAGATAATTGTCTAAAATCCTATTTTTTATTACCTAAGCTACCGTAACCTCTAAACGCGCGTAATTTGTACTGTAACGGAATCCCCCAAATTTTCAACCCTTCCACCCGGGACCCGGGCACTTTACTCCCCGAGACGTGTAGGGCGAGACCGGGCCATTTTTTTGGGGTACTGTACGCTACACTACGCCACTGTACGCCCGTACTTTGGCGTAATTCGTAGCCTTCGGTGACCCTTTAAATGGCCCAGTCTTGACCCCAAACTCTGTGTACATAATTGACCCCTATGCCCTGATCTGTCTGTACCCTGTATTCTGTATTCTCCTGTACTCTGTACTCTGTAGTTTCCGCCCACTTTTTCACTCTCCATCTCTCGCTCTCTCTCAAACCCTCTCACTCTCTCGCTCTCTCTCCATCTATGATCTGTCATTTCCAGGGGTTTTGGCGATTTTTCAGCGGATTTTTGAAGTTTTAAAGGGATGGTGACAGCTAGGATTATCTCGGAAAGTTGGCTTTAGCTTAAGCCGAAGCCTACGCCGAAACCTAAGCCTTTAAAGGCCTATTCAAGCCTCAAATCCACCCAAAAATCGCCAAAAGCCTCCTCATTTTCCCGTGATCACTCCATCACACACCCTGTGAACGCTATGGTCTCACACCCTCGGAAACACCCGTTTTTCCGACCCACACCAACTTCCGGCGAGCGTTTTGGGCCTGAATTTGGCTTTTTAAGCCAGATCGGGTCCCGAAGCGCCCGGCAAAAATCTCTGGGCTCCCTAGGATTTCCCTAGTTCCATCGTCTAGAACCACAAACACCACCACCACCAACTCGCGAAATTCGATTTTGCGCCCCGTTTTTTGGGCTACCGTAGTCTGAAAATTGACTTTTTGCGGCTTGGCAAGCTGCCAAAAGTGAAACTTAGCGTTTTAAGAGCTTAACCAGGTCAAAAACGCTTAAAACATTTTTGACAGCTTGCCAAACCCTTGAATTTTTAAATTTTGATGCCAAAAACCCAATTTTTAAAACCTGAAGGTTACGGTAGCTCATTCATACTAAAAACAACATCCACCAGATCCAATTCTGGCCCAATTCCACTCCCACTACACAACGCTACAAGCTACAAACTACAAATTCCCATGCGGCGTATACCATACCACACCACCATCAACTTTTTCGGAATTGTTCTACATTTTCGACATTTTTCTACCCGGTCCGCCGCAAATGAAAACGACAAAAGCGGGCCCCACCACAAATTCACTCAGTCTCCACGCTGGGAAACCCCGAAAATTCGGTATTTTTATCGATTTTCGGTGTTTTTCGGCATTGTTACACCCCCTACGAGTCCCCCTGGATACTGTAGAATTTGGGGGGTTACGGTAGAAATTATAAAACTCGACGCAATTCGGCATTTTCTACCGTACCCCCGAATTTTACGGCTCAACCCCCCGCCCCAGCCCCTAACTTATCTTGTTGAGAGTTGTTGTTACCCCGCACTCAAAAAATTGTTACACCCTTTCGGCCTTTTAAAGGGACGGTGACAGGCAAATGGATTCTTTTTGGAACGCTTACGGTAGTTTAAAAACTGAAAATTCAAATGTTTCAAATTTTTGGATTGATTTAGACGTAAATTACGAATTTTTTGAATTTTTCTGGTGCTAAATTGACTTAAAAATACTGTGCTTCATACTGTGAGAATTTAGCTTCCAAAACAATTTTTTTGCTAATTTTTAAGCTACCGTAAACCCCCGAAAACCCATTTTCCCGTCACCGCAATTCCCCCAAAATTCCACTACTTTTCTATCCACACCCCGCTCCCTTGAAACCCCCTTAAAATTACGTGTCGGCTGCCCCTTTTTCACCATTTTAAAGGAGCGCTGAAGCCGCAACCCCCAGCAACGTGTCCCCCAAAAGATCCGATGCAGGACAACCCCCCACCGTACCGCGTGTATTTCCCTACCTACCGTAGTCAGTGCCCTTGAACATTCAGCGAATCGTGTACCAACATCGTGTCAAGCCTTCCCCCCACACCACACCACCTACTCGATCTAAATCTCGTCAAACCGACTGAACATGTGCACTGGATTATTCAGAATTACCGTATGCCTGGGGTGACTTGGAAACGGCGAAAAAGGCGATATTTTAAGGGGCTTAGGCTTAGGCTTGGCTTAGGCTTGGGCTTAGCTTAGGCTTAGGCTTAGGCTTAGGCTTAGGCTAAGGCTTGGGCTTAGCTTGAGCTTAACCGGGGCTTCGGCTTAGGCTTAGGCTCAGGCTTAGGCTTAAGCCTAGGCTCAGGTTAGGCTTAGGCTTAGGCTTCGGCTTAGGCTTAGGCTTAGGCTTAAGCCTAGGCTTAGGTTAGGCTTAGGCTTAGGCTTAGGCTTAGGCTTCGGCTTAGGCTTAGGCTTGGCCGCTCTCGATCTATCGCCTATTTTTTTGCGACCTCCCGTTTTCAGTTCTACCCCGGTCCTTGATACCACCCTCAAAAATTCCCCTCGCTCGAATGCCAACATGTATACAGCAAAAACACGAGTTGAGAAAATAAACGGTTCTGAAAGCAAAAGGTTGTACGAAAAATGCAGGAGATAAAAATACAGAGAGCGGGACAGGGAGAGAGAGGGAAAGAGAGAGAGAGAGAGGGAGAGAGAGAGAGAGAGAGAGAGAGAGAGAGAGAGAGAGAGATAAAGAGAACGTGAGGGGGCGAGAGCGAGAGCAAGAGAGAGTGAGTGAGAGAGTGCTAGAGCGAGAGAGAGAAAAACAGATGCGAGGTAGCCGTGTCTTTTTTGCACCTCTGACGCCTTGTCAAATAATCTCTAAAAACAAAGCCCGAAGAAAAATATACAAACCCATTACGCTATGAAACTCTTGGTTGCCAAGCGACTAGTGGCTGAGGATTAGCGGCAAATGTCTGAAAATCGCCAGAATGCTCGTTTGAAATTGCTATTTTAGTATTGACGATTTTCGGCTTTTTAGACTCTTAATTAATTTTAAGACTGTGGGGTTTTATTTTTTAGTGTAATTTTCCAGGATCTGAGGTCAATCTGTGCCTTGCAAGTCCCTTTAAAACGAGGAAAACAACTTTTTTAACCCTGTAGATCTCATTCATCTTCAAGGTAAAAACTATTGGTCAGGCCGACACGGCAGCTACTTGTGATCCCTCGCGAAAATATCGTCCGACTACGCGCCGATCCCCGCTTCCGATAAGGGGCAGTTGGCGCCGATATGGGGCCCAGATAGGCTGCCCACACGAACAGCACACAACCCCCGGGACAACGCGACGATTTTTCGCAGATCTTTGCGGGATTTTTCAGTTTTCTAAGTTTTACAGAGACCGTGAGTTGTTGCATCACTATATTTTTGTCAAGATTAATCAAATTTATGATACGTACAGGAATTAAATGGGATTAAACATACGGAGCAATTGAAAACAGAAATTCTGCGAATTCTCTTCGTTGCAAGCCTTCTCTGTCCCTATTTTTCGGACTCCCACTCTCTATCTCGCTATCTCGCTCTCTCGCTCTCTCTCTCGCTCTCTCTCTCTCCCTCTCTTTATCTGGATATCTCTCGCTAGCTCCCTCATCTCTCTCTCTCTTCATTTGGATATCTCTCGCTAGCTCGCTCCTCTCTCTCCCTCTATCTCTCTCGCTCTCGCTCTCTCTCTCTCTCTCTCTCTCTCTCTCTCTCTCTCTCTCTCTCTCTCTCTCTCTCTCTCTCTCTATATATATCCTATCCTATAAGCGAGAAAAGTATGTGTGTTTTCTGTAATGACGATTTCTCGGCCGTCAGGCCGAATTTCGCTCTGATTTTTGGCATGGAGGCGGAGAAACACACCCTCTTTATACGCATTTTTTTGTTTTTCGAAATTCCTTCATTTAACGATTTTACAAGGAAAATAGTATAAAACCCTTAACATTCTGGCCAAAAAAAGGGTTTGTTCAGAGGCTATCTCGATTGCCTGAAGGAGAGAGACCCTGATTTTTGGTGGGTTGATGCATAATGAAAATATCTCGATACTATTTTTTGGATTTTCGTTAATTCTTTAAAATAAGGTTTTTATAGGCATTTTTCTAAAAAATCCTTAACAAAATGGCCAAAGTGTCGTGGTGTCCAGGCCATGACTCGAAGCCCAGATGGAATTTCGGGCTGGAATTTGGACAACTTATGTATTCGATAGTGGGGATCACGCGCATCTTATTATTTTGACAAATTTTTGGCAGTTTCAGACTAAACGAACGAATTTTGCAAAGTGACCAGAAGGCATCCCTCCCAGCTCTCATTTCTTTACCGCTGCGCTAGGCGGACCCGCCCCCAGGACAGAACAGGCCTTTGCCGCCCCCGTTCCCATCCGTCCTGCGGTGTAGTGGATTGGGGCGGGGTCTACCACGCGCATGCTCATGGGTTCGGATCCTCGGCGAAATTAACTTTTTGCTTTTTGGTAGATCAGCAACAAACTTATTTTTAGGCTCACGGTGTGCGCGGTTTAGGCCTGGCTCTCGCTCTAGCGCCGCAGGCCAAAGAAAAGGTCCTTGACCCAGGCTCTCGCGCCGCAGGCCACGGATGGGTCCTGGACCCAGGCTCTCGCGCCGCAGGCTAATGATGGGTCCTAGACGCAGGCTCTCGCGCCGCAGGCCAATGATGGGTCCTAGACGCAGGCTCTCGCGCCGCAGGCCAAGGATGGGTCCTGGACGCAGGCTCCCGCGCCGCAGGCCAAGGATGGGTCCTGGACCGAGGCTCTCGCGCCGCAGGCCAGATTCCGGGAGAGAAAAACCAGTAACTAGCGCCGCAGGCTCAAGGATTCTAGCGCAACGCTGGCCCTTGCGCCGCAGGCCAAAGAATGGCTCCTTGACTCCGGTTCATGCGCAGGCCGAAAAAGAAAGTATTTAAATTCATGGTTCCTTGACGGGGTCCAGTGGAAAAGGGCCGCGAAGCGGTCTTTTTCCACTGGTATATATATACATCTATATATATTTCCATTCACCGGATCCTATTGGCGAATCCGTTTGTCCTTTCCCCCGAAAAAAAAACGGCTGAACAACAGAGTTCCAGGTCATCGCCCAGCAGCAGCCACGCCAACATGCCGCGTGTTTGCATAACCGGTGGCGGCGGATATTTTGGCCAGCGGGTCGCCTACGAATTTTTGGAGCAAGTGGGTGGGCGGAACGGGGGTTTCCGGAAATTTTTCCGGCGATTAATGGGAATATAAAGGCAATTGTAGTAAAATGCTTGATTTTCGAGCATTTAGCTAATTTTAAAGGGACTGGGATCGAAAAAATCGACCATGACTGTCGACTAGGTCTCGTCAGCTACGCCAAAATACGCTTGAAAACGGATTTAGATATGTGTTTCCTCTGTTTTGGGGATATTTTGGCGTGTCACGTAGCTTTCTAGAACTAGTAGACGTCAAGGGTCGATTCAGGCACTTCTTAGGACCTTTAAAATCGGATTTCCGAAACACCGGGCAGGCTAGCAGCATTCCTTTGAGAATTCAGGCTTCATAACAATTTAGGGTTATGAAGCAAACCTCCTCGATATCAATTTCGAAGCTCCACCCCCTGGGATAACGTTGGATCAGAAGAAAATAAAGATTTTCAAGGTAATTTCCAGATTTTGGAGTTAATTACCACTGTCTCAACCTCAGGGTTCTATCCTTGATCGTCAGCTCCTCGAAAACGCGCTTGAAAATTCCGAGACCTGCGTCCACATTGCAGCATATGGCATGGGCGGAAAAGGATCAGTAGGTTGACTTCAATGATCCTTTAGACCTGGTCTTTAATCTTGTTTAGTGTAATAAGAAGCTCGTTTTTGCCACAAATGTCGATGGGACGAATTTGGTGATGGATGTTTGCAGGGAGAAAGGAGTAAATAGGTGCAGTATTTTGGAGGGAGGCTAGCAGAGATCATTTGGGAATGGAAGGGGGCAGGCTAGCAGAGATCATTTGGGAATGGAAGGGGCAGGCTAGCAGAGATCATTTGGGAATGGAAGGGGCAGGCTAGCAGAGATCATTTGGGAATGGAAGGGGGCAGGCTAGCAGAGATCATTTGGGAATGGAAGGGGCAGGCTAGCAGAGATCATTTGGGAATGGAAGGGGGCAGGCTAGCAGAGATCATTTGGGAATGGAAGGGGCAGGCTAGCAGAGATCATTTGGGAATGGAAGGGGCAGGCTAGCAGAGATCGTTTGGGAATGGAAGGGGCAGGCTAGCAGAGATCATTTGGGAATGGAAGGGGCAGGCTAGCAGAGATCATTTGGGAATGGAAGGGGCAGGCTAGCAGAGATCATTTGGGAATGGACAGGGCAGGCTGGCAGAGATCATTTGGGAATGGAAGGGGCAGGCTAGCAGAGATCATTTGGGAATGGACAGGGCAGGCTAGCAGAGATCATTTGGGAATGGAAGGGGCAGGCTAGCAGAGATCATTTGGGAATGGAAGGGGCAGGCTAGCAGAGATCATTTGGGAATGGACAGGGCAGGCTAGCAGAGATCATTTGGGGATGGACAGGGCAGGCTAGCAGAGATCATTTGGGAATGGAAGGGGCAGGCTAGCAGAGATCATTTGGGAATGGAAGGGGCAGGCTAGCAGAGATCATTTGGGAATGGACAGGGCAGGCTAGCAGAGATCATTTGGGGATGGACAGGGCAGGCTAGCAGAGATCATTTGGGAATGGAAGGGGCAGGCTAGCAGAGATCATTTGGGAATGGAAGGGGCAGGCTAGCAGAGATCATTTGGGAATGGACAGGGCAGGCTAGCAGAGATCATTTGGGGATGGACAGGGCAGGCTAGCAGAGATCATTTGGGAATGGAAGGGGCAGGCTAGCAGAGATCATTTGGGAATGGAAGGGGGCAGGCTAGCAGAGATCATTTGGGAATGAAAGGGGCAGGCTAGCAGAGATCATTTGGGAATGGAAGGGGCAGGCTAGCAGAGATCATTTGGGAATGGACAGGGCAGGCTAGCAGAGATCATTTGGGAATGGAAGGGGTAGGTTAGCAGAGATCATTTGGGAATCGAAGGGGCAGGTTAGCAGAGATCATTTGGGAATCGAAGGGGCAGGTTAGCAGAGATCATTTGGGAATGGAAGGGGCAGGTTAGCAGAGATCATTTGGGAATGGAAGGGGCAGGCTAGCAGAGATCATTTGGGAATGGAAGGGGCAGGCTAGCAGAGATCATTTGGGAATGGACAGGGCAGGCTAGCAGAGATCATTTGGGAATGGAAGGGGCAGGCTAGCAGAGATCATTTGGGAATGAAAGGGGCAGGCTAGCAGAGATCATTTGGGAATGAAAGGGGCGTCGGGGAAAACACTTTTTTACAGGTTTATCAACTCCAGTTCGGTAGGCGTCATCTTCACAGACCACGAGCTAAACATGGTCGATGAGAGCTATCCCTACCCAGAGACTGTACGTTATACTACTCCTAGCGTTTATAGGTGTATTTAGTTCTACTCTTACTACAGTGAATCGAAGGCTATTGCCGAGAAGGCTGTCAAAAAAGCTAATTCCGAGAATTTTTCTACAGTATCGCTTCGGTATAGAGGGATATTTGGGCCTGGCGAGCCGAGGACAACTGCTAGAGCGGCGGTAGGTTGCTCTCTCTCCCTCTCTCTCTCTCGCTCTCTCTCTCTCTCTCTCTGTCTATCGCTCGCTAAGTACCCTAATGCCATCATCCAGCCCATTCCAGGAAACGATTCACCGCGGCCTGTATTTTGCCCGTTTCGAGCACAACACCCCGGCGATGACCCAGTTCAGCGGGCTCGACAACACCGCCACGGTGTGTGCGCTGTTTTGGAAGGGCAAACGTCATTCAGCCGCTTTTTAGGCATGCTGGCTAGCTGAGGTTGCCCTGAGGGACAGGAAGGAAATTGTTGGTAGGGTTTGAAAGGTAACATAGCGCCCGAGAATCAACCCTTTCAAGCTACTAGGTCTCGATAGCTGCATAAAGTGCCAAAAACTCCCAATCGTAGTGCCGTTTGGGCAGTGTGACTCGTGATTTGACGCGTTTCGTGGCTGTCTAGACCTAGTCGATGGAAAGAGTCGATTCTCACGCTTGCCAGTCCCTTTAATAACTCAGAAATTATGTAGACTTTTATAGGCGGAAAAGTGTATAACATTGTCGATGGAGGCTCACCAGTGCCAAGCTGGGATTTTTGGATTCCGCTATGCCAGGTATTGGATAGCGCTGTATCTCTCTCTCCCTCTCTCTCTCTCTCTATCTCTCGCTCTCTTTAGCTTTCCCTCTCAGTCTCTCTTATTTTACAGGGATGAACATGGCAAAACGAACTTTTTCCAGGCCCTCAATCGCAGTCGCCCCTGGCTGGTGCTCCCGTTTTGGATGGTGTTATACCTGGCATGGGCATCGGAATTTTTGTGTGAAAATTTCGGCGTCACTCCGTTATTCCTACGACTAGAGGTGGCCCTCGTTGGCTTCACCAATACCTATTCGATCGAAGCAGCCAGGAGGGATTTGGGTTACGACCCTCAGCACAACCACGATCTTAAAGGTAACGCCCGATTCTGTTTTTGAAGGGAAACAAGTACGACTCAGTGGCAAGCTAGCAAAGAAAAGGAACTGAAAGGTTGAGGCAGCTAGCTAGCAGAGATCCTTGAGGAGATGTAACGGATCTGATACAGAGAAACATAAAGCGAGAGAATCTGTAGGAGAGAGGGAGAGAGATAATGAAAGAGGGCGATCAATGGATTTTATCGTAGGTTTCTGGTTACAAGGCCCCTTAATTTCCACTATAAATTTTTCGCTTTCGCTTAGATTTTTTTTAGAAACGGCGGCATACTATAAGCAATATTACGCGGCAAATCCGAGCTGGAGAATCGATTGGTCTTTTTTATTTGCGGTCACTTTCTTGTTCTTGGTGTCATTTTTATTCACATTTGTTTGGTGAGATCCGTTCACAACACGAATAAAGGCATTGAAAACTACAAAGTATTACGGAGAAGCTTTCACACACACGCGACTCGATATAGCACAGAGATCTGTTGGAAAATCAATTTGGGGAAGAGCGATTGAACTTTGAAAAATAGCAGAGATCGATTTTAAAGGGACGGCGACACGTGACATTTGGATTTTTTCCCTTAATCGGTTAAAAATATCGAAAAAAATTATTTTCTGGTCATCCCAAGCGTTTATGGTACCTTGTGGGCTGGAAAATCGGCTTAAAAACACGATAAAACATACACAAATCTGTAGAATTAGTAGTTGTAAAAAGCATAGTTAAAAATACATGGCATAATCGATCAAACCCCGGCAACAAAACTTTACTGTCCCTTTAAAAACCGCGTCACCACTTTGGGTTCAACTTGTGCCAGTGAGCGACTGGGGTCTCGGGGTGGTCGAGCATCTGAAAAACGGGGTTACGGTGGACAGGTCAACTTTTAGGGAACTCCCTCACTTTTTACTCCCTCATTTTAAGCGTTTCTCATTGAAACCTTAGCGTTGAATAAATTATTATATTAACTTTCAAAGCCATGAAAATCATCAAAAATTTCAAAAAAGGATACTGTGGCGATGGCAATTATTAGAAAATGAAGAAGTCAGAAGCTCGCCCTCTACCTGTTTCCAGTGTTGCGCTCCGAGCTCCGATCCCAGAGGCCCCAAGATGGCGTGCCCGATCTCGTCGTTTGCTCCGATTAGGTCGTAGTCCATTACCTGAAATTATTGGGTTTGGAGCACGAATTGGACGGTTCTCTCTTTTTCCCTCTTTCTCTCTCTTTTTCTCTCTCTCCCTCCCTCTCTCTCCCTCTTACCGTAGCCACCAAGTTCACATCAGCCGTCAGCATATCTTTATTCGGCACCGGAAACGCGAACGATTCATTGAAGATAGGCATAAGGGTCTGAAAATGATCATGATAACGATTTTTGCATTTCTTTGGTCGGTGTAAATAGTGAAGCTTCGGAATTTGAATCCCTACCTGCGATTTAACAGCCGTTCTCCTCTTCTCCATCTTGTTGCCCTGCTGGACGAGCCAAAGCTTCACGTAGGGGTCTGAAAAGGAGAGGTTCGTCGCTCGTACTCACTCTCTTGCTATGGCTCTCACACACTCTCTCGCTCTCTTTCTCTCTCTCTCTAAAACTCACCAGAACTCCCAGCCAGCTTGTCCTTCGCCGGAAGCTCCTTGGCCCGGATGACGGAGACGGTAATTTTGTTGTGCTCGGGGAGGTAGCAGAGTGAGAGCATGACCTCACCGCATTGTTCCTGAAAGAAATTTTTTAGAAACTTGCCTTTTTCTCGTCTCGTTCTCACTTTTTCTCTCTATCTTTCTCGCTCTCTCTCGCTCCCTCTCTCGCTCAAACTACAGTATACCAGACTCCCTAAACTGTGCTCTGATCAATTCCCCTGCAACCATCAAAACATAATTCCAATTTTCCGGCTAATTGCTTGCCCCTTCGCCTCCATTTTTCAGGCGCTCCAGGTGAAGCCTATTGCCGAGAATGGACCCGTCGACTCGAGAATTCCGCCCAATAAATAATTCCGACACGGTCGGGGTGGTGTTCTCTTTTTTTGCTCGCCGCACAGAATTTTTGGCTAGAAGCTTCTGAATACAAAAATGGCCGTGATCGTTAAGGCAAACACTTTTTGTTCCGCGTTTTGCAAAAATCTGGTGAAAAAGTGAGAGAGTTCGAGAGTGAGAGAGAGAAAGGGAGAGTGATAAAGTGAGCAAGAGAGCGTGCAGGACAGAGAGCGAGAAAGAGTAAGGTAGAAAGGGTTCGAAAGGGAGCGAGACAGCGAGAGAGAGAGAGAGAGAGAGAGAGGGAAAGAGAGAGGGAGATCGAGAGTGGGAGAGAGAGAAAGTTTTTTTTTGTTCCTCACCTTGCTGACGGTAGGTCGTTGCAAATGTTTCCAGTACACGGGGCTGTGCTCGAACTTGACCGATTTCATCGGGAGCAGGATCTCGCCTGAAAAAAGTAAAAGTTAAGGGTTGTTAAAAGGAACTAGGTTTTAAATATTGTAAAGTGAGCATGACCCCTAGGTTGAAGCCTTTTATAGAAAGAGCGACAGCGAAATTCGCTGTATTTTCTAATCAATTGGCTAACTTAAAATTTTTTTCTTTGGAAAGGGGATTTTTGTCCATTTTTTGAGTTTTTTTTTTGAGCACGACCCGATCTACCGTAACCCACCAATAGGATCATCAGCCGAGAACCGGTCAAAGTCCATCACTTGCATCACGAGCGTCATGTCGTGCAGCTTCTTCATCGAATGGCCTGAAAAAGTCGCATAAATTCGTATATCTTTTTTTGTGTTTTTTACCGTACCCTTCAGACGGTTTTTTAAAATCGCTTTATCATGATTAAAGCTAATTTTTACTTTGAATTCTGCAAGTTTCACACTGACAGACGTTAAAAGCACAGTTTTTATAAAATCAAGCTAAAAATAAGGAAAGACTGAACCAAAAGTCACTCAAAATCACGCTTGAATACGTCACACTACTGCTGACAGTACGAATACGGTAGGAGTACGGTAGAAGGGCGTACGGTTCAACTGTGGGTGCGTGGAGATGGTGCGTCGTTGAAGGGAGGAGACGGGTGCGAGCAGACCGCCGGGGACCGAGCCTTGAGACCCGGGGCTGAGGCCACGAAGTCGAGGGGCTGGTCTTGAGAAAGAAATCTTACAGTACGCTACGTAAGAACGGTGCTTCATGGTAGTTTAAAGGGACCGGGACTAGTTTAACATACTTAAAAAATGCCTTAATTTCGCGACAAATGTGCTAATTTCGTCTTTTCTATCCCCCGGGAATTTACCGTAGCCCCCGCGTTGAGTGTCGCGCGCTCGACGAAATTTACAGGGACTTCAACGTCAACAAAACTGGATCAGATCGATGACCTCCTTTTTAAAGGGACTGGCAAGCGATGGAATCGACCCCCTGAAAACGGCTAGGTCTCGAGCACCACGGGATACAAAAGCAGCGAAAGATCGCTGTTTTCACTGCGGCTTACGCATGTTTGCGCGTACCTGTCGAGACCTAGTTGTGGGAGGGGTCGATTCGCGGGAGTGCTGGCCCCATTAAGAGTATGATAAAGCCCGACTATCTAGAAAATAAATATCTAGAAATTTTTATTACAGCCTAATCAAGGTCCCCGGTCCCTTTAAACGCCAAATTTCGCAATTTTTGCAGTTCCACACCTCCTTGGGGAATTGCGACGGCGCGACGGCACCGACAGGAATCCGTGCATGGCGTGGCAAGCGGCCAGCCTGTCCATCCAATGGCGGGTGGGGTACTGTGGCAGGGGCAGGTTTTATAACGCTTTGAGGGCAAAAATCAGCTTTACAAGTACCATAGTAAACTTGAGAAAAATAGAAAAATTACCCAAAATATACGCCAAGATTGCCACAAAAAAAAAGAATGAAAACCGCTGGCAAAAAAAAACACCAAAAACGAGCGCTTCAAAACAACATAAGCAACCCGTTGTTTTGCAAAAAAGGCTCGTAGGTGCGCGTGTGTGTGCCGGAATTACTAGCAAATTCCGGGGTGATGGCGTGTGAGGTGGGGGGGGGGGCTGTTGAGAGGAGAAAACGGAAAATCTCCGCGCGAAAACAGCCAATTAAGGTGGGGGAGGGGGAAAGCTTTTGCTCCGCGAAATCTTTTCTTGAGCTTTTTCTTACACTGGATTTTCGTCTTCTCTCTCTCTCTCGCTCTCTTTCTCTCACCGCAAAATTCAGGCTAAATTTTCGAAAAATCCTTACAGCTTGCCCTAGAATACCGACGACGCAACTTCCGTAGCAACAGTTTAATGGATTTTTAGGCAAAAATTTAGTTGCCGAATATATGCAAAATCAGTTGAAAATCCCGACCGTTAAAGGCCCCACCCGCACTGAAACACGGGAAAGACGAATAGGTTCCCCCGGAAAAACAGAACCAAATTTTCACCAAATAAAAATGACACCGGAAGTGGCTCGTAGAGGGACTACGATCCGGCCTATCGACAACAAAACTTTGGAACAGCCATGCAAAACAGAAAACAAAAAAGAATTCGCATGCAATCCGTAAAATCTTTTCAGACGCGATCTCTGCTAGCCTGCCCCTTCCATTCCCAAATGATCTCTGCTAGCCTGCCCCCTTCCATTCCCAAATGATCTCTGCTAGCCTGCCTCTTCCATTCCCAAATGATCTCTGCTAGCCTGCCCCTTCCATTCCCAAATGATCTCTGCTAGCCTACCCCTTCCATTCCCAAATGATCTCTGCTAGCCTACCCCTTCCATTCCCAAATGATCTCTGCTAGCCTGCCCCTTCCATTCCCAAATGATCTCTGCTAGCCTGCCCCTTCCATTCCCAAATGATCTCTGCTAGCCTTCCCCTTCCATTCCCAAATGATCTCTGCTAGCCTGCCCCTTCCATTCCCAAATGATCTCTGCTAGCCTGCCCCTTCCATTCCCAAATGATCTCTGCTAGCCTGCCCCTTCAATTCCCAAATGATCTCTGCTAGCCTGCCCCTGCCATTCCCAAATGATCTCTGCTAGCCTGCCCCTTCCATTCCCAAATGATCTCTGCTAGCCTGCCCCTTCCATTCCCAAATGATCTCTGCTAGCCTGCCCCTTCCATTCCCAAATGATCTCTGCTAGCCTGCCCCTTCCATTCCCAAATGATCTCTGCTAGCCTGCCCCTTCCATTCCCAAATGATCTCTGCTAGCCTGCCCCTTCCATTCCCAACTGATCTCTGCTAGCCTGCCCCTTCCATTCCCAAATGATCTCTGCTAGCCTGCCCCTTCCATTCCCAAATGATCTCTGCTAGCCTGCCCCTTCCATTCCCAAATGATCTCTGCTAGCCTGCCCCTTCCATTCCCAAATGATCTCTGCTAGCCTGCCCCTTCCATTCCCAACTGATCTCTGCTAGCCTGCCCCTTCCATTCCCAAATGATCTCTGCTAGCCTGCCCCTTCCATTCCCAAATGATCTCTGCTAGCCTGCCCCTTCCATTCCCAAATGATCTCTGCTAGCCTGCCCCTTCCATTCCCAAATGATCTCTGCTAGCCTGCCCCTTCCATTCCCAAATGATCTCTGCTAGCCTGCCCCTTCCATTCCCAAATGATCTCTGCTAGCCTGCCCCTTCCATTTCCAAATGATCTCTGCTAGCATGCCTTGGCGCCAAAACTTTTTCAAGCGCTAAGTACGTTACACACCTAAAGCCATACTTACAGTAATCGCATTTCGTGCATATGCAGTCCACCAGCAATCCGGGTACAGACAGCATCCGCAGCTGTGACTTTCGCGAGGTGGGCATGCGGTGGTTCATTGGTCCAAGCGGGTTAGTTCGATACGCTCCAGGCAACGATAGTGCAGTACTGTAGCAAGTTGTGGTTGGTACTGTAGCGTAGTACTGTAGCGTAGCAGTGACCCACTGTAGATGGCTGTAATACGACAAAAGTGGAGGAAAAGGAACCTGGAATGCGAGGCGGAGGCGCAAATTGGTCCCCGGGGGGGGTGGCTTCACCTGGGGAAAGCCCAGGTGAACCCTGAAATTATTTTTGGAGTTAAAAATGACATTAATTACAGGGGAATTATTGGGAAAATGACAAAAAAATGACATTAATTACAGGGGAATTATTGGGAAAAGGGCGGATCCAGGTAAGCAACGTAATTGTTAGTTGAAGGGCTGGAAAAAGTGAGTAAACTTCTAGAGGATCAGAAACTATGGGTAAATGGATTTTAAAAGGACTAGGAAGTGCCAAATTCGACCCCTTCCATCGACTGGGTCTCGACAACTACGCGAAACGCCATATTTTCATTAAAGCTGGGACAGCTTTTTGAATAAATCACTTTTTTGAACAAATTATTCGCACTTTCAAGTGTGCTTTGGCGCGTCGCGCAGCCGTCTAGACCCAGCGGATCGAAAGGGTCGATTCGGGAGCTCGTTTTTCTTTCTCTCGAAGTTTTTTAGTAGTTTTTGATTGCTAGAAAGTTACAAAAATATTTAAGGGTTCCCGAAAATTCGACAACTGTGACTTTTTTTGCTCATTTTCGAAATTTTAACTGAAAGTACGAATTTCGAAAATTTATAAGGTTTTCATATCTAAAAACTGTGCAAAATGTCATAAAAATGGCTTATATTGTTTAAGGGGCTCGTACAGGATTTCTCGGGGGATTTTTGGCATGAGGAAACCAACCAACCAAATTTCTGGGCAAATTGGTTTCCTCATACCAAAAACCCTCCTCTACCTTGCTAACAGGCCAGTACCGGGAAATTTCGAAAAAGTAAACTTCCGACAAAATGAGTTTCGACATTCAGATAGCAAGTAAAGTTAACGATTTCCGAAATTCGGAAAAAATTAATCGAAATAATTAAAGGTTGTAACTAGGGTCAAAATGTTAACTGGAAGCCGGCCGTCTCCCTGCCTGTCTTCCTGCAAAAACTATTGGCCTCACCTAACGAACTTTTTCGCGGGCCACGATTGTCCCAGGTGGCGTGGGAAAAATCGAGTTCGTGCGCAACCCGACATTTACGAGGTGTTTACCTGGCGTAACGGAATTATCTCGCCAGCGCCTCTCTGGGGGTACAGGTAAAAGCCACGCAAACAGGAGCGCGGCGGAAAATTCGATTTTGGTCTGGTCCCCCGTGGAAAAGTTGCGGAACGTTATATTATGGCGGAACTTAGGCTACAGATTTTGGGTATTTTGGAAATTTTAAAGGGATTGGCGAGGCAAACCCTCTGAAAAACCAGAGCTGGAAGAACTCCGGTTTTAGCGCCCTTTTTAAAGGGATTGGCAAGCGCGAAAATCGATTCTTTCTGATCACTACGCAGAAAAATACGCTCAACCCTATTTCCTAAGGCCTATCAAAACTATTCTCGCGTATTTTTGCGCGTTGCGTAGCGGTCTTGACCTAGTCGATCCAGAAAGTCGATTCTCGCGCTTCCTAACCCTCTTAAACTAGTTTTTAGTAAAATCAAAGCATCCATCCAAACAAGCTCCAATCCGTTTAACACGAATCTCCGCCCGGCTTCGGCCAGGCTTTTCAACGCCGGATTGCCCCCTAAATAATTCCCGGAGGCGGGTGGCCGCCGCTAGGTGCTTCCGGACCGGACCCGCCACAGGGCGAGCAAAATTGCTCTCCCCAAAATGGGCTCTGGACACTGGAACAAAAGAGAAATTTTTGGTTTAAAGCGGCTTGGAAAGGCGAGAATCTACCTTTCGATTTTACTAGGTCTAGACAGCTGCGCGAAACGCGTCCGGAGCGTTGAATGCTAGCCAGCAGCTATCAGCTGGAAATGCAAGTGGCAGGCTAGCAGAGATCATTTGGGAATGGAAAAGAGTAGTCTGAGGGTTTTTCAGGATTTTTCGCTCCAATTTTCGACAGCTTTTTCAACAGTCATTCACGGCTCATCGCGCGAAGCACCTGGGCGTGAAACTGAAGCGGAAGTGTGGGAGGGTTTTTCTGGCGCCGTTTTTGGCGAATTTCCGCGGGGTGTTTGGTCGCGTGGCGAAGCGGAAAATTCAAATAGGATAGAGGGGAGGATTAGAATTTTTATGCATCGGCAGGTGCGAAGAAGCGGGAGAGAGAGAGATAGAGAGAGAGTGAGAGAGAGAGAGAGAGAGAGAGAGAGCAGGGGTTTTAAAGGGATGGCGCCAGGAAAGAAGGTTAAGTCAGTCAAAAAGAGAAAGCTGTCACCGTCCCTTTAAGGTAGTTTTCCTAACTTTTTTCCACAAAATTTTGCTCTTCAACTTCTTATATACGTGCCTATGCCCAAAGACTAATGCGTCAACGCGAATTGGCCTATTTCGGGGGGTCCCACAGCGGCCCTTTCTAGCCCTCTTCAGCTTCTTGGCCCCCAGGCAAACATGAGTCACCGACGTGCGTAGATAGCTCGAGGAGAGGTAGCAATTTTGAAATATCAAAATGGCAAACGAATACGCAGTTGGCCACTTGCCCGTTACGAAAATTACAGTATATGAAGGGCCCAATTTTGCACTAGAGCCGCGGAGGGGCCGCCAAAAATAGAAAACTATTTTGGAAATCTGGGGAAGAGTCGAACTATTTTTCCGTTTGCCATTTAGACGTCAAAAGACGCTCAGTGGATTTATTTAGGGGTACCGGAAGTGAGTAGGGAGAGAAAGAGAGAGAGAGAAAGAGAGAGAGAGAGAGAGAGAGAGAGAGAGAGAGAGAGAGCGCAAATCCGAAAAAGGTAGAATGAGATGTCATTCAGACGTGTATTTTTGAGTATTTTTCGTTGAAAGAGATTTCAACCCCAGAAAAATTAGAAAAACTTGCATACTAATCAAAAAATAGTAAATTTTGGTCTTCTATGCCACTCGCTTGGAATTGGCATCTCGAAATCCGGTGGGGAAAATCCGAGAAACCTGTAATTATGGGACTAGAGAGGCCTGAGCGTGAAGACCTAGAATTCTGAGACGCGGGACCAAAACTACAAACGACAAAATATTGCATTCAAGGTAAATTTGAAATTAACGCATTGAAAAAAGAAAAGTTTTACAATGGTTTTTCTGACAAAATTGAAATCGACAAAACATTTTCCACTCACTGATAGCAAATCACTAAAAACCCTAGCTTTCCCAGAAAACTTGGAGCTTTCCTTACAACAATGCCGGAAAAAAAGTCAAAGCCTTTTTGCCAGAGAAAGAGCGATGATTGGGCATTTGTAACGGGCACTAGCTGGGGGCCATTTTTGGGCCCCGGGCCGTTAGCGGAAAGTCGACTGGATGTCTTTGACTAATGTCCTGGTGGCAACAGACGGATTCCCAGCAATCGTTGGTACTTCTGGAGCTCTAGCTCTCGCGATATCTACGCATTAAAACTCTCAAACTTTAAAAAGACCTGGAACAAAAACAAAAACCCGGCTAATTTTTTACGGTAAGTTCCGGAAAAATTAAGCGACAGAGAGAGAGAGAGAGCGGAGAGAGAGAGAGAGAGAGAGAGAGAGAGAGAGAAAGAGAGGAAGAGATCGCGCAAGAGAGAGAACAAAAAACTAAAATTGCCCAAGTGTTCCATTCTCTCTAGTCTCTAGAACACTGGATGTTTTGGCAAATGGTCATCCAGACGACCCGTGATGGCGGCGGCGGCCCCGGGACGACGTCGGAAATTCGCGGGCCGGTGATTTACTCCCTAGCGTGCCACCCCCCACAACACAACACAGCATAACGACACTACATAACACAACAAAGCACCGAATTTGGAAGGGGATTTGCGGATTTTGGGATTTTGCGTTTTAGAAATTTGAATTCTACATTTTCTACGGCTTAAAAATTCTTTTAAGGCTTTTTTTTTGGGTTTTAAACCTCAAGATGTATTTTCCTTTTTCATTTTTTCATTTTTTTGGCACATAGATTTTACTTTAAAGCTCGAGAATTTTTCGGTTTTTACACTGAAAGCCCGAAATCTAAACCTAGAAGCACGAAAAAAACTTAAATTTTACGAAAAATTGGATTTTCTGTTTAAAATTTTCTTATAAATAACGATTTGCCATTTTGGTATTTTCACACTTAAATAACTTTTGGAACAGACAGACAGACAAACAAAACAAACAAAAAATCATTAAAAACGAACCCGGGAAAGACAATGTCTCGTTGAACTTCGGGCTGAGGTTTCGGCGATGAACCTGAAAAAGTTGAACTTCTATTTTGTACCTCACTACCGTAACCAGCAGGTTTGAAACGACAAAATCCGGAAAGTTACCAACCTTTGTCCGCTCCCACTGTCTAGGGTATTGCATCAGGAAGACGCGGACGTAGGGATCGGAACTTCCTAAAAGCGAAAAATACAAATTAGAGAAGAGAGAGAAAGAGAGAGAGTGAGAGAGAGATAGAGAGAGAAAGAGGGAGAGAGAGAGCGAGGGAGAGCGAGAGAGACCGAAATCGTACCTGTAAAATCCCGAATCGGAAGCTGAAGCGCCTCGAGGACATGAACATGAAGCGTCGAAGATTCCTTGTCATACGACAAAGAAAAGTTTAGTTTTCCTCGATTCTCAGCGACGACATCCGGTTTTAGAGAGTCGATGACTTGCTGGGACTGAATTAAATTGTTCTCTATCTCGCTTTCCTTCTCTCTCACCCTCTCTCTCTCTCTCTCTCTCTCTCTCTCTCTCTCTCTCTCCCTCTCTTACCGCGCTCTTCCAGTGTATCGCGTTCGTCAGCTTGTTCTTCACCGTCGGCTGCACCGGTTTCGGGGCTCCGGTGGTGAGCACGAGCTCGGGGGCGAGGAGTTCGGGCCTGAAAATGTTGAAAATTCTCTCTCGCTCGCACTCTTTCTCTTTCTCTCTCTGTCTCTCTCTCACTCGCTCTCTCCCTCTCTCTTGCGCTCTGTCTCGCTTTTTTTCGCCTAAAAATCTCCCCAAACCCCAAAAAACGTTTCCTAGCGATTCGGGAGGACCACCAAAGCTTCTGATTCTTTAAAAGGTCGCCCGGATAATCCTGTGCCAATATGCTCCCAAAATTTTCCAATATTAGAGATTAGGGGGGCGAGTTTTTCTCGAAAACGTAGACCTCTCCCTAGCACAACAGTTTTTATTAATAAAGGCGTCATTGTTTTTGGGGGCTTCGCCCCCCCTGAAAATTGCAAAGAACGGGTCGAGTACATCATCGGAAAACTCTTACGTACGTGGCTACTTTGGGGTAAGTGGTTAAAGGGACCTAGCTGCCTGGATGACTTTAAAATGTCGAAATTTTTGCAAAAATCATGATTAGTGAAACGGACAAGGCATGACTAGGAATTTTGCTGGCTGTGGATACGGCCGCGCTCGCGACACGCAACACAAATGGGTAAGAGTTTACTTAACCCCCCCCCCCCCCACAGCCGAAGGGTCTCAAATTTTTCGGTATTTTCGCTTATTTTGTCGGGATTTTTGCAACGCCATTCGATAGAGCGTCGAAAAATATGCTAAGAGTTTGAATTTAAGCCTACAATAATGTAAAATAAAAAAAGTTAAGCCAAAAACGTCCGGCTGGGGGGTAAAGTAAAACGTAGCCCACAAATGCAGCGGAATGTTGAATTAAAATATTTTGTTGTTTTTTTGGCTGGGTTTTGAAGGGTGCCCGCAAACATTTTTCATGGGGATTTCGACATACTGAAATTTCGGCATTTTGAAGCTACGGTATCATAGAATTTCAAAATTTTGAATTTCCACAAAGACGAAAACCACGACAAAAATTTCGAGATCTTCTTTCACACTCAATGATTTTCGACATCTTGAAGGGGAGCCATGCGAAAGCCATCTGTATTGAAGCTTTGTATTCATTTCAAAATACAGAGGCGACGGCGCGTTGCGTTCAGCAAAAGTCATCAGCGAAAAAATGCATAAGCTGCCCTGCAGCTTCCTTTAGGAATGCGCGTCACCTGGGCCTATCCGCTTCTTTAAAGGGGCTCAGAAGTCAAAATTCGTGCGTGCGGGGATTGAACTTACTGGTCAAAAAAACGCAAGGGTCACTGCCGAGAAGTGCCAGAAAAGTGATTTCATTGCGAAAAAACGTAAAATATTTGAGAAAATCCGAATTCTTTTTGGGGCGAAAATGACATTTTAGTGCGCGGCGATTACCTGTCGTAATGCGATGTAAGGCACCCAATCTCTCGATCTCGGCGATTCTCTGGTCAATTTTCATAATTTAAAAGTCTAGAATGATCAAAATTTGGTGAAGATTCCAAAAATAGCATCAGAATTTTTAAATTCAGGCGTTTTCGCGTCCAAACAGGGGCAAAAGACCATGCGGCGCGGTCGCGTTGCGGTCGCATCTGGCTATTTGCCAGGAATCACAGCAGGGGGCCGTGGACCAGATTTCGGAGCCTCTTTAAACGCCGCTGGAAAGATGCAATTGGCGAAAAGGCAAAGAATTTTGCAGCGGGCAGGAGTTGAACCAGCGATGGTTCAGCCCACAGCCCAGCGTGCTAACCAGTACACCATGGCCTCAGACGGGCGGAGGCGGGGGAAAGGCCTCAAATACCCTAGAGGTCTACAACAATCCGTTCCCGGGTTTTTCTGTCCTGCGCGGAAATTACGCTTTACATAGAAGTTACGAATTCGTAATCTGAGTTACGTCGATAGTAGTCCCCCCGTCGGTCCCTCACACCCCTGGGGACGCTCGGTCATCTTTCCAAGGGTCTTTAAAAAATATTTAGATCGGTCCTACGGAAGAGGGAAATCCCAGTTAGCGGGCGCACAAAGAGCTGGATTTTGACTTGCCAATCCCTTTAAATCGCAAAAGCCAAATCAACTCACGCAAACAACCTCGCCGACTGCGCGCACTCGCACTGTGAGGCCTCATAACTCCGGCGGCGCTTCTGCACGAACAGCGCCAACACCAACACCACCGCGACGCACCCCAGCGCGGCGTACATCTGAAAAATTGTGAATCTTCGAGGTGTATGTAATTTTAAGGCTTAGATTAGGGCAATTTCTAGTTGGGCTTTACCTCAACTGCCGCCCGAGTTTCGTGGCCGCTGCAAGAAATTGTCGGGGAATTTCTTTGCCTTGCCCACGCGCGAGACTTGGCATTTTTTACCGCTTGGCTTTTTGTGGTGCAATTTTTAGTCGAGGGCTAATTTCCGGGGGACCTTGGAAATCTCACCAAAACGCCGATCATGACGGCGGAGAGACTGTGGACCGACTCCGAGCCGTCCATAGTTCATCGACGGACTATTTATTGGAAGATTTTGAGTAAGCGAGCGCCGGCGAGAGGAGAGAGAGAGAGAGAGAGAGGGAGAGAGCGCGAGAGAGAGCGCGAGAGAGAGCGCGAGACGGAGAGAGAGATACAGAGAGAGGGAGCGAGAGAGAGAGAGCGAGAGCGAGAAATAAATTACAATTACAACAATTAAAAAGCCGAACAATTTGGCACCAATGAAAATAAAAAGAAAGATAAGTTTTTGAAAGTTCAAAAAGTTCAAAGCACCTTCAAAATTGGCCCGGCCCTTTTGCAGCGTCGTTGCTGTTTCTAGTTAGGGTCCGCAACAGGGAGAGAGTAAAACTGGAAAGAGGACAAATTCGTATCTGGCGAGAGAGGGCCCTGTGTTTTTTGAATGGCCCGGCGCAAGAACTGAAGTGAAAGTGGTGGGTCTCGTAATGAGAGAGGGCTAGTCTATATCTTTCCACGCTCTCTCTCTCTATCTCTCTCTCTCTCGCCTCATCATTTCCATTTTCCCACCGTTCCTTATTCCCCGGGCCGGCGTATCATCCGCCATTCCACGCTAGATTCGAGGCGCTTCAGGCTTTTAGCTGGGAAATTATCGAGGCTATAGCTGGAAAAGTGCCAGGAGGCGCTTAATTTATTTTTAGAATGGCCTAGAAAGCGCTTTATTTCCTTTAGAAGTCGAGGGAAACTAGCAGTGGTTATTTAAGAATTATGGCGCGAGCTAGCAGAGATCATTTGGGAATGGAAGGGGTAGGCTAGCAGAGATCAATTGGGAATGGAAGGGGTAGGCTAGCAGAGATCAATTGGGAATGGAAGGGGTAGGCTAGCAGAGATCAATTGGGAATGGAAGGGGCAGGCTAGCAGAGATCATTTGGGAATGGAAGGGGTAGGCTAGCAGAGATCAATTGGGAATGGAAGGGGTAGGCTAGCAGAGATCAATTGGGAATGGAAGGGGTAGGCTAGCAGAGATCAATTGGGAATGGAAGGGGCAGGCTAGCAGAGATCATTTGGGAATGGAAGGGGCAGGCTAGCTGAGATCTCTTGGAAACTCGTTTGACGATCAAAATGACCATAATCTGTTGCCAACCTCATATTTTGATTACCCCTAATCTCGATGTCTTGAACGTACACTGTGCTCCAATTTACGCAACCCAATTGTCGCCATTGTCCCCGGTTTTTCTATCGATTATATGCCTTTTTGCGAAGCCTCAAAAGCCATTGAACTCGGGATCACTGTAAAAATGATGTATCGCGTTTTGAAGGAACGTTGAAGCTTGAGAAAATCCGCTTTGCCTGATTTTTTTGTCATGATAAAACCTGAAGATTCCTACCGTATTGACCGGAATGGTGACGGTCCCTCCGCCGGCCAGGATCCCCATGTTTCGATTTTCCGGGGGATTTGGATTACCCTAGAAATTAGTTTTTAGTGAGGAAGAGAGAGAGAGAGAGAGAGAGAGAGAGAGAGAGAGAAAGAGGGAGAGAGAGAGAGAGAGAGAGAGAGAGAGAGAGAGAGAGAGAGCCAGCAATAAAGTAACCTGAAAAAAAAAGCCGAAATGCACAGGGAAATCTTGAAAATTGTTGTCCAGACGAGCCGAACCCGAAGCGTCCCTACGCATAGCCGTTAATGCATTTTTAGTTTGTGCACCCACGAGGCGGAAAAAGGAGCTTTGTGTAAAATTTGGCAGCTAGCCAAAACCCGAAATTCTGGCCAAGGGCAGGCTAGCAGAGATCATTTGGGAATGGAAGGGGCAGGCTAGCCGAGATCATTTGGGAATGGAAGGGGCAGGCTAGCAGAGATCATTTGGGAATGGAAGGGGCAGGCTAGCAGAGAACATTTGGGAATGGAAGGGGCAGGCTAGCAGAGAACATTTGGGAATGGAAGGGGCAGGCTAGCAGAGATCATTTGGGAATGGAAGGGGCAGGCTAGCAGAGATCATTTGGAAATGGAAGGGGCAGGCTAGCAGAGATCATTTGGGAATGGATGGGGGCAGGCTAGCAGAGATTCTATGAGAATCCTATGCCAATCATCCCGGTTTTTATACACCCGGAAGCGCATCGCACTTGCAAATCCCCTCCAAATCCTCTAAACTAACCCAGTTTCCGAGTTATGCAGGAAAATTGTGAATACGTGTAGAGTACAGGTGTGGAAAATGGTCCCGAACGGAATCACCCCGCTTGGCCAATCCACAGAAAGTGGGACGGGCAAAAAAATAAGGCCAAATCCGGGCTGGGCATCCGGTCGGGTCGGCTGGGAAAGATTATGACGGGACTGAGAAGGAATAAATCTGGTGAAGAGGATCTCCCCGACCGCTCAAAAAGTGATGTTATTTGCTGTCGAGTTGGGAAAAATTTGTGCCCGCTTTTGCTGAATTCATGGAGGGAATCGGATTTGGGTCGAGTGCATTTTAAAGGGCCGTGGAAGGATAAGAGGGGCTGGATTCAAGGGGGAAATAAATGTCAAGGGAAATCTGCGCTTTAGGGCTTTGTATTCTGTTTTTTTTTCGACTTTGTCATAGTCTGAATCCATAATCTGGGCCATCCCTTTTTTGAAGGAATTTGGGGGCGGGCTGACGAATCCGACAGCTAGGGCGAAGGGGTAGGCTGGGAGAGATGATTTGGGGAAAATCTCTGGGCTGAAAACAAGGCAGGCGCGCAGAAACCGTTTGCGTAGCCTCAGCTTCGTAGCGTAGCGTAGCGTACCCAAGCCAAGCAATCTAGCAAAGATTCTCATGGAATCCTACTATCCTACTATATATAAAAAAATAGTGTTTGTGTGTGTGTGTGTGTATATTTGCATGCACTTCCGTTAGGATGTTCCGCTCCTACAGCCTCGGGGAAGGGTTTTTTTGGATAGGGAAGAAGCGACAATGGGTTTAGAATGGTCCGGAATCGACTGCACACACATAAAAATTTTGAAAAATTGTGGTTTTCGCTATTAAAAATAGGTTTTTGTAAAACCCGCTTTGTTAGGGGCAATTAGCATACGCCGGAAGTGGAAATAGCCTATATATCGGCGAAGAGAGGGCGTTTTCATTTTTTCCGTACCGGAGTTGGGGAGAAGCATGCAAATCAAAAACTTTCACAGGACCCAGTTGCAGAGCGTTCAAAAGACGCGGAGGATTTTCAAAAATTGCCATTTTCGCTGTTAAAATCAGGTTTTCTTGTGAAATTTCTAACCCCCCCCCCCCGCCACTTTGTGGGCTATTTGCATATTGCGCAAGGGTATTGGCCGGTTTTTCTCCATGCCGTTACTGCGATGGGTGCGTTTGAAAATCTTCGCGAGAGTTAATCCGGTCCGGGGTGGTCTGCCAGGTGGCTAAGAAACTTTTTGGTGCTTGCCTGTTAAAGGGGATGGGAGGATAAATTTTTCTCCAGCACGATACGGACCATAGGAACATGCCTACGGATATTGTCACACTTTACGTGATTTCTTTCCGAACATAGCACAACGAACATTTGCATTCGGAAGTCGACCGTGATAAACATCTGTATGACGGTATAAAATGAACGAGGGCGATACATCCTACTAGACCTCCCGAACCCCCCCCTAAACCCCCCTAACTAGGGGGGGGTTGGGAGGGGGGTTGCAGGGGGGTTCGGAGGGGGTTGGGAGGGGGTCCTTAGAGGGGTTCGCCCGGTGAAATGATATACATATATGAAGATCTTTTCAATTTTTTGGCCTTTTAATCAATTAAAATAAGTAAAAACTATCAGACAATAGTTTACAACCCCCAGGTGAATATATTTTCAGCTATTTTGGCCCTCAATTCGTGTTTCCCGAGTGCTTTTTAGCAATTCTAACCGGTTCCCACCGGGTTTTTTTGTCGGTAATGTGGTTAGCAAGCACCAATGGTTGTCCTACAATCTTTACAGCACAAATTTATAATGTTTCGATAAGTTTTTACAGTTCTTTTCACCAAAATTGTCCTAAAAATTGAGTTTCATGGGCAGTTGACCGCATCTGAATGATTGTTTATATTTTCGAGTCAGGTGAATCATTTATAAACCACATCTGAGCCCAAAAACCGCGTTATTTGACTAATTGCGCCAAAAAACTATGGGTGCGCCAAATTGGGGCTTAGGGGGGTTGGGAGGGGGGTTGTAGGGGGGTTCGGAGGGGGGTTTTTAGGGGGTTGGGAGGGGGGTTGTAGGGGGGTTCGGAGGGGGTTTTAGGGGGTTGGGAGGGGGTTGTAGGAGGGTTCGGAGGGGGTTTTTAGGGGGTTGGGAGGGGGGTTTAGGGGGTTGGGAGGGGGGTTGTAGGGGGGTTCGGAGGGGGGTTTTTAGGGGGGTTGGGAGGGGGGTTGTAGGGGGGTTCGGAGGGGGGTTTTAGGGGGGTTGGGAGGGGGGTTGTAGGAGGGTTCGGAGGGGGTTTTTAGGGGGTTGGGAGGGGGGTTTAGGGGGTTGGGAGGGGGGTTTAGGGGGGTTCGGAGGGGGGTTTAGGGGGGTTCGGAGGGGGGTTGGAAGGGGGGTTCGGAGGGGGGTTTAGGGGGGGGGGGGGAGGGAGGGGTTCGGGAGGTCTTCATCCTACTATATATAAAAAAATAGTGTTTGTGTGTTTGTGTGTGGACACTTTGCATAAATGGCTCGAAAAAACCGGGTTACCAAGATATCGGGCAGGGGGAAGAATTTTGGGACCGGACGAGACGAGAGGTATTTAGGGGTGGTCGAGGGCATAGATTACTGCAAGCTTATCAGATTTTTAATAAAATG